GAGAGAGAGAGAGGGAGGGGCAGGTGAAGGGTGGCAAGGTTAATGATGGGTAGAGAACTAAGGGAATGTCACATTTAACATCATGTCCGTGATGCGGAGGAAGCAATTTTTACCTCAAGTACAACCCGGATTGAATTTCCTTCTATTGCAACACCGATTAATGCAACAAGTGCATTCAGCCGCTCTTCAACACTGAGATCAGAGTATTCCCCTTCAGTCAGTCCTTGAACCCATGATTCTCCAGTGTGGCTCTCATCTATCTCTGCATCCTCTTGCTCGTTTATATTTTCATCGGCAGGCTGCCCGTTAAGAATGCTTGCCTTCTTTGCATCATTTGAGTTATCTATTAAAACTCCGCGAGTTTTGCCAACCTTGTCCTTTATCTGCTCACTCTTTTCTTCTTCTGAGGGAGTTGATGCTTGGTCAGCCTTGTCTTCTTCATTCACAGAAAATAACCCCTTATCTGAATTTTGCAGACCATCCAGCCCATCATCAATTTCAGGATCCTCAGCTTCATCGATATCAAACTCTTCATCCGCGACATCTTCAGCATCTTCTAAATCCTTTTCGGCTTCTTCTGAATCTGAAAACCCACTCTGGAATTGACGTATTTTTTCCCTAGCAGCCTGCAATATGGCATCTCTATCAGCAGGGTCTTTTCTAAAAGCGGGGCGTACACAATATGTTGATGGAGCAGTCCTTTCAAAAAGATTTCCATCCCTTGAAAGTGCGGCCGCAATGGAAGCCTCAGGTGTCTTGCTTGTTGTTAGGTCGCGGAGTCCAGATTTCTAGTAATGAAGAAACAGGTGAGAACCATAAATCTTCGCAAAGACATCAAAACATATAACTTAGAAAGTATATTATAATCTGACGGACTAGGGGAAATAATAGTCTATTGGATGAACATTGCTATTTAAAATGGAGGGTAATGGAGAAAGTGGGACCAAGAGTTCTTGTCTTGTAGGTCCCTCCCATTCTCCATCACTGCTTACTATTTTTTAACAGATTTGATAACCATAGGCTATGGTTTTCCCATGGTCCATCAGGGTTTAGTACTCCATATCCAGAGCCCCTTTGCAATCACCTGAATTTTGTCAGCCACTTCTAGAATGGTAAGTCCTTTACTTCCTTCAAGGGAGAGAACATAGAATGCTGCAAATTTGACCGTTCCAGGAGTTAAGCGGTGCCGACATTTTCTCAGGTGAGAGATCCCCTTCCCATGCATCATAGAAACAGCATTTTGCGCTGCTGCTCCACTTCGAAGCGTAGATACAACATCTTCACCATCATGACCCTAAATTCATAGAATTAAGAAATGTACTATATTCTAATGACTATTACAAATGAAACTTTTTGGTTCAGTATGCCAATTACCAGTTACATTGTGAAAGGAAACAGCTGTAAACAATAGCACAAAGTAAGTACCTCATTCTCATCACGAAAGTATGCTTGTCGTGGACCTTTTTCCTTCCATCGTGGCCCAAAGCCTGCTGATAGAGCAAATTGTCGCAGCACTTCAGGCCATGTTAATGGATTTAAGTGCCGCTGCCAGCTCCGAATATCAAAACCCCATGCATATGCCTGTTTCAAGCAATATACGCAATATGCTTTCATTATAGCAGAAATTCCAGACGAAAGGCAACACAAAGAACAGATGTAAGAAACGAAAATAATTTTAAAAGCCAATGGCAAAGATAACTCACTCCTTCAACAATTTGTGGGTGTCCACCACCAGGATTAGCAGCACTGTTTTGATTGGCCCCAGTTCCAACAGAAGGTGTCCTTGCAACATCTTCAATATCTTTGATTATCGATTTCAGGAGCACAATATGTATCTCCCCCATTAACCTTGAGTCCTGCTACAATTTTCACCGCTCAAAAGCAGGACAAATCTTCTATTCATTGCATAGGGCGCACACAGGCTCGCACACACGCACATGCATGCATACACACACACACACACTCATGCACACGCACAAACACACGCACACAAGCACGCATGCACACACACACACACAATAAATGCCTTAGTACAGATAAGGTACGGTACTCACATGGTCATGAAAAGCTTGGACAAATTCATCGAGTGTAAATGGCCATAGGCCAAGGACATCAGCAAATGTGATTAAAAACCTCCAAACCTACAATTTCCACAAGCAGATTACGTGGGATCAGTATAAGAAACTTCCTTCCCAACTCTTATCAAGAATAACAAGCAAAACAATCAAACAATGCATCGATCAAGCCACAAAATTAAATTGAACCTCTGTTTATTGTTTCTAAGTAGCAGCATGTATAAAAGAAATTTACAATATTTTAGCGCATTGGCGACCATAGAGCGCTAAAAACTGTGAAGTATTACATCTTACTGAACTTTTTCAGGTAAATAATCATAAGCAATTTCACTTGCTGAAATCAAGTAAAAAGCATGGGAAGTACGTCACCTTCTCGGACGAAATAAAAAATGTTCAAGAACAAAAAGAGTAGCATTAGGTGCATTCGAATCAACTGAATGACATTACCATCAAAAGATTTGCGACGTTTTCTTCCGAATCCTTCAAAGGACGAATTGTGAAAGGTTCTTTTAGCCTTACTGATCGAGGAGGAAAGGCACCCCGCTTATCTGAATCACAAAAAGATATCAGGTTCACTCCAAGAAATATTATTAAAATACCAAAGACAAGACCATATAATGTCATAAGATACATTAAAGAGTAAAGAATCAACAAATGAAGCACACGTGCATAAGAAATGCACGTGTGCAACAGAAGTCCAAATCAGTGGAAGCACAAGCGCAAGCTTCCAGATCAATGGAAGGGATAACAATGGAAGCACAAGCTCACAAAGTCCAAATCACCCATTAACAAAGCTTCTAACAAATGCAACAGAAGTTAATTAAACACAACCTCCCCCCCCATCCCTCCCTCCCTCCCTCCCTCCCTCCCTCTGCATGCATCTGTGCGTCCTCCACCCCTCTCTGCATGCATACGTTTGTGTGTGTATATGTATTCTCGCATTAGATCAAATTCATAGAAGATTATAGACACCTACCTTTGAACAACTCAAGATTCTGCAAAGTTTCCATGTCCAGGAAAACAACTGATGGAAGACCTTTGCATGATGCAGCAAGCTCCATAAGTTCTAAGCGTTCATCTTCAACAAGTTCCATAGATTCTCTAGCAATGCGACGAGCTGTAGCTCTTTCATTAGCAGCTTTCAACCTTGCAGCCTCCTTCTCTCTTCGAAGCTCTTCTTTGTGCCGCATTTTCTCAGCCTGTTGCAGAAGCAATGACCCAAGTTTCTAACCATACAAAAACAATGACAAACCAAAAACTTGTTTAGGTAAACATACTTACTCTTAGACTTTCCTTCTGCAAGAACCTCTCTCGTCTTACAACTTCACGTTTCTGTTCTCGCTGGAACCGCTCCTCCTCACGCTGCCTTTCACGAACCAACCGTTCTTCTTCTTTCCGCCTCTCACGATCATACCTCTCCATTTCCCTCCTGGTTTGTTCTTCTCTCTATTTCAAAATGCCCACATGCAATTAGATGAAAATTAGACAACTTCAACAGAAAAAGGAAAACAGAAGGAGCTTGCTTGAGGATCAAGAGAGAACCTTTCTCTTCAGAAGGTCTTGCTTTTCCAGCTCCTTTCTGATTCGCTTCTCATGAGCTTCAACTTCCTTAGCAATCCGTGCTTCCTCAGCCTGTATGTGATAATGCCGTTTAGTATGCAGGGAACCAGTCGTTTAAACACTACAATGATATCTTTCTAGATCACATCACATGGCAAAGAATAAGCAAGTTTAGAAACAGGGACTTAGGTTGGGACTCGTCCTTATTCTGATCCAAGTTGACACGGTAGCATGTGTTAAAGAGTTGCTAAGACTTGACTATTGAATGATTCAAGTCGACCAGGGCTAGTCCGTAGTCTTGTGGCCTAATTGTTATACAGTAGTAACAATTCCATGCATACCTTTCGCTTCCTCTCCATTCTAGAAGCATCTTCATCTGCACAGATCAGCTGGTCAGATGAAGCATAGGGATTGTCTAGCCCAAGTACTGGATGAGGTACAACATGAGGATCGCTTCCAAAATGTGCAAGTGAATTCTTGTGTTGACCACTATCATAGTCAGCTGAACCTTGAGAATAACTGTGTTCATGCCTTCCATGGGAAGAACGATTGACATTCACCATTTGAGATGGGTAAGCATAGCTTGAAGCCAATGGTTCACTATGATGGAGGAAAGCCCCTCCTGTAGATAATGATGGCCCCCTATGGCCAAGAGCTTCAAATGGGGTATCATAAGAGTTTGATGACGTAGCAGCTCTTTCATGCGCTTCAGGTCTTACACTGGGTTGCTCAGGAAGAAATTTATACTCAAGAGGAGGAGTTCTTGTACCAACTTGAGGAAGAACCATATGAACATTTCCTCCAGATGCTTTCCTTTTGCCACTAGATGAACTTTGTAGAAAGCCATGTTCCATATTTGGCATTGGGGGTGAAGCCTGGAGACACAAATATGGCAGAGAAAGCTTACTGCATATTCATAAGAAGAAGCATGGCAATGAACCAACAAATTTATTATGGGGAAGCCCCTCCAGACGATTCTAAGGGCACTTAAAATTTTACGGGGAAGATAGTATATAATCAATCCAAGGGACCTATAGATTCATGGACTCATGAAATAAGAAAAACCCCTAAATTTAGATGATACCCTGTGGTTTTTGGATTGACGTTTGCACATTTCTAGTAAAGGTCAGAACTATTGCAGGAAATAGAATAACCAAATGCAAATTGACAGCCCACATAAATAACACATCTCAGGTTTACAGTTGGATAAACATTTATGCAACCAGAAATATGTAAGCGACCCGATAAGAACAAAGTGAAAACAGAAAATAGGGAATTTGGGTGATGAGTACCAACCATGCCAGGCTTTGCCTCCTGTCTTTCATATATTTTACCATCATATAACCGCCCTGATAGCATTTGTTGCCCTGTTCATAACACCAACAACAAAAGGTGATATATTATCAAGACTCTTACTTAAAAACATATTAACAACCAGCCAACCAATATTCCAAGAAAACACAAATGCAACTAAACAGCTAAGAAGCAATACCTAAGGGAGAACCAAAGGCACCAGGAGGCAAGGGATCAAATTCCACACCAAGAGCAGGACCATCCTCTCGAAGAGGCTCCCCAAGTTGAGCTTCAATAGCAGCAATTACACGGTTCTCTACCGAAGGTTGGAGATCAATAAACCTCTTCACCATGGGCATCTCACTGCTTCTTGGCACCACATCCTTTCTCATACCAACAAAAATATTTGAAGCCATGGAACGATCGTCTCGACTGGCAGAGTCCATGGCATCAGGGTCTTTGGAGGGCTCAGAAGCGGCTTTTTTCTGCCTCTTTGATGATCCATCCTCATCTTTCCTGCGGTCCTTAAGCCTCCTATGGCAAAACCACATTTGCAATTGTCGATCTGTGAGATCCAATTTTGCTGAAAGGTCTGCCCTCAGAGCCTCTGACGGGTAGTTCTCAACTGAAATCAAGCAGGAAAATGGTTACCAACATGAAATTTGAGCCAAAAACAAAACCAAGAGGAAAAAGACGTAACATTAAAAAACCTAAACTTCAAGCTAGGAAAGAAAAACATAATAGTTAAGAGGTAAGCTAAAAAGACTCGAGGAATAAGAAGAGATAGAAATCTGAAGAGAAAACTAAGACCCAAGAGGAATTAAGAAACGAGAACAATCATGGGGTATTGAGATTATGAAAACGTTAATAAAGATGAGAATTTAAGATCAGGAAAAATCATGGGGAATTAAGAAAATAGAAAAGTCTAGCAAAAAAAATGACAAATATCAACATGATAAATCAAGCTAAACAAAAAAAAAAAATGCGAGCAATGATAAAAGAGAAGGTTAACAAAGAGGATAATGAATAGCAACATGATAATTTGAGCTAAACATAAAAAAAATGAAAACAACCAGGTGGAACAAGAAGAAAGAGCAGGTTAACAAACTGGCATAGGTCTTCTCGAGAAGCTCAAGTTGAACAGCAGTCTTCATCTTCCGCTTGGTGGTCTTGTCCTCGGGACACTTCTTTTCTCCCTCTGCCTTCTCCATTTTAGCAGCTTCACTACTTGAGCACAGAGTGAAATCAATACAAATATGGACAATCTATGGTATTTTACGTAAATGATCCAAGCAAATTGCGTATGCTAACGTTACTAGAAAACAAACATAAAGTAAAGAAATTTGTGAATTTTCTCCATGGATAACAAATGAGTACATACCTCAAACGATCAACGACAGGGGAAAAAAAAAAACTCAATGGTGTTTCTCGGATGAAATCAACATGAATATGGAAAACAAAGTTTATTTTAAATGATGATAACAGCCTATCCCATGCTTGCAGTAACAAAACTTGAAAAAAAACAGACACATACGAAATTTGCAGGGTGGGCAAATACCATACACCAACAAACAAAACCAGAAACCAATCAAATAAACACTAATAGAAGATATAGTCTTTTCCATGGATCATTACAGAAAACCCATTCATCAACACCCAACCAGGAAACCAAAAAACCTAGGTTTCTTACAATGATGCACAAAGCAATCTCACGAATAAACACAAAACGAAAAAACATAATACCCAGTAACCAAAAACACGAGACTCACAAAACTCACAACAAAAAAATTAGGGTTTAGTGATCCAAGCAAAACCAGAAATCGAAACGAGCAAAGCACACTTTCTCCTCCATAAGATTCATGAACAGAAGGGCCATGGATACTCACATTAACCAAGCAGACTATAAAAACGCCGCTGCCTCCGAGAAGAAAACCCTAATCCAGAGAGGAAAATCCCCAAATCGACTGCACCATCATTTAACGCATGCCTCCAAACAATAAAGCAGAAAAGAAGAGAGAGAGAGAACAAATATAGAGAGAGAGGGAGGGACTGGTCAGATATGAGAGAATCGTTACTTTCTCTCTCAAGAGATTTACGCCCAACTTTATCCAAGGGGGTCTCGAGGTTGTAATCGCAAGAAGAATTGAAGAGATTAAAGGAGTGGGTCGAGGAGGAATTACTAATTTTAATATTAATAATATGATCGCTTCCATTGTTATTTTGAGGAGTTTGAAGAATTAAAGGGAGCCTGAGTCGATGGTGATTATGCTTCCTTTTCTCTCTCATCGTGGATCTCGTCTCGATTCTTTGTTTCCATCGATTTTTTTTCTTTTTGGTTTGTTGTGGATTGGGATTTGGAAAGATGTTCCTTTCTCTCTCTTCGAGTTTGTTTATCGTTCCTCACTTCTTTCAACTCTTTCCAGGTTCTTATACGTGTGCCTTGTACGCTCTTTCTCTCTCTACCCATGTTTTTGCGATGGTTTTATACTTTCTCTCTCTAGCTTCTGGCTCTCGCCGATTCTTGAGGCATAACTTGAGGTGGGACCCATTAACCTCTTTTTTGTTTATGTAGGAATTCATAACTGTGGATTTTCACTTTTTTTTTTTTTTTTTTTATTAAGAAAGAGAAATTATCTCTTATACTTTCTAAATGACCACTATTAAATTTGACACATATTTTTTAAAAAAATTATTATAAATTTAACTTTTTTTAAAGATCTGTTTTAAATTTAATGGTGATCATTTGGAGTCCTACACATATCAATGGGGGAGAGTCTCACAAGATTATTTCCCTTCAGAAAATTAAAAGCATAACGAAAATGCCATTATTTGGGACACCAATCATCGATGGTGATTTCATCTTTCCTGTAATTTTCTATGTACTTGTATTTATGACTATGAAATTCATACGGAATATTCAAAAAAAAAAAAAAAGTCTAGGAGCCTTAAGTTATTTGGATTATGTTAACAATATGTCATCAGGTAAAGATGAAGGACAGAGATGTTAAGGATGAAACCCAAACATGTTAACAGATAGGAATGAAACACTTGGTGATATATAATAGTTATCCTAACCACCCTGGGCAAGAGCCTATACCTGGTAAAACACAATGTTTTTGTATTGTTTGTTTGTCGCCTCTTTGTAGTTCGTTATGTGAGGTCGTTTAATTTTCAGTGGATCTTCTTATCTTCGATCAAAACATTGTATGGTGCCCCCTAATACTGAAGCATGGATGCATTTTGTGGAAAATAATTCTTGAGAGAATTAAAAATCATACTCCATTTGAGAAAATTTTAAGTATGACACTAGTAGACAATAAGATGAGAGATGGTGAGCTGAGGTGGGCTGGCCGTAAATGACACAAACCCTTTAGAGCACCTGATAGGAACTGTAAATTATAGTGGAAGGTTCAAAAAAGCCAAAGGGTAGGCAAAAAAAGACATAGTTGGAAGTAGTAAGAAAAATATGGGGACTTATGGCCTCACTGAGAATATGACTCTTAATAGAGTTGAATAGCAGACTAAGATTCATGTAGCCGACCTCAATTAATTGAAAAAAAGCTATGATGATGTTGATGATGATGATAATTAAATTGCACCTTTCAGAAGCATAAATTTACCCCGATCCATCCTCACCCGTAAGCCCAAATCCTCTATTATAATACTGTCAAGATTAGGAAATAATTCTCTATTTTCTAATCAAATGACACATGTTCTAACTTTTAAGGAGGTTCATCTCTATCAACCCCCTAAAAAATAAAAGTTTGTTGGCCCCAGCCATTTTAATAATTAAAACTAAATTTTGATGGAAGTTGGGAATCATATACTTGCTTTGAGATAGATTTCATAACACACCATTCTTCCATCCAACATGTACTCCTCCAAATGCCATATGTTTATTCTTCATATCAAAGCAGCAAAAGGTCAAGGATCCCAAATAAATCTACTACACTACACTGGAAGTTGATGGCCCTAACTTTGCATAAAAAACCCGTTCATTCTCTGTCTCTTGACTTTCAGTCCCACTCGTAGATACATTAGAAGGGAAATTTATCAGACTACACCACACATTCAAATTTTTTAACATCTTACCCATATTTTTATCTAATTTCAAATACCCTTCGTTCTTTTCGCCAAAATTTAAGTAGCCCACAAATGAGATATAAAAATGAGTTCTTAAATTTATCAAATTACACCTATGTTAAATGGTTCAAGTATATTTTGATGAATTTCTTTTAATAAAAATTACATAACCACACATATGAATACAAATTTTCCCGTTTTAGTGTGTCCACCAAATTCTTGCGAGCATTTTCCATCATAGCGTTGGGCCTTGAGAAGTGAAGGACATCTTTTGTCATTTGTTATCAATTCACTTTGTTTTTGTTGGATATGTATAATATATGTATGTGTGTGTAAGCCACCAATCTATCGAATAGTAGGCTGGATGGCTCAAATTTAATTGAAGTGCATCGGAATTTTTTTTATCTTTTTTATTTTTAGTTTTAGTACGAAAATATTGTAATCATTCATGCCTATCATATTTAAAATTGGATGGTTATAAGTGTGTCTTTGACTAGGTTTAAATTCCAAAGAAAAATTTAGTGAGCTACACATTTATCACGCCTACAGTTTTCTAGTCTACTAAGTGAGAGAGAGAGAGAGGGAGGGGATGTTGGATTGGTAAGTCAGAATTAAATTACATAAAAAGAAATATTACAGAATAGAAAAATCTTGATATTTCTCTTAATTGGCATTAGGGTTGAGTCTTTAGTTGGAAACTATCAAAGTACGCGTGGAGGATTCAGATCTTGTCCATAAAAGCCACAGGCCCAAAATTATTTCCACTTTTACACCATTGCTACAACTTTCGAAACTATTTACTAAATCAAATGAAATTATTGTCAGAAAATAAAATAAAATCAAATGAAATTGCGACTAATTCGTACACAATTTCTATTATCATTCATACAAACGTAAACTTCCTTTTTATCTTTTGAAACCATTTCCTAAATAAGTGAAACGCATTAATTGGAGCAATTATTAGACATCAAAATAGAAAATTTTAATTACTTTTTCTTTTTAGGAAAATTTTGCAGAAAAATGTATTTAAAATAGTTATTTGTATTTTATATGTTATGCTTAAGTCCCACTTTTAGGAGTATTTATTGTATTAATTTTATTATTTTTCTATTCTTTGAATTAAGTTCAAATTTTGGGCATCCACTTCTCACTATCATACATTAGTAAAAAAAAATATAGATAATAATTTAATAAATTAAAATAACCAAAATACCCTTTCAAATTTGAAAGGTTTTAACGATATTTTAGCTTGCTTATTTTATTTTATTTTTTACATTTGTGTGGGCTCGCCACACATTTGTATGGTCCGGAGAAGCGTACTTGTCTTATAGTTTAGGGGCTTTAAATGTGTTTGGTTTCATTACTTGTTGTTTCGTCTGGTTCAATAATAGCACTTATCCTAGTGAGTTTTACCGTCCTACTAGCCTAGAAGCTTCTCAAGCTCAAGCTTTTACTTTTCTATTTAGATACCAAACTTCTTGGGACCACCATTTACAGGTGCCTAATGGTTAGAAATATGGATGTGTCAAAACTAAACTTAATATGATTAATAGAGAATAAAATAAAATTAACATATGCATCCTAAACAAGCGGGACTTAAGTGTAAAAATAAAATAGAACTATTTCTATATTTGGAAATAAAATAAGATTTTTTTCAAACTTTTTTTTTTTAAAAAAATGTACAATAAGACTATTTATTTTTGGGAAAAATTTATATAGAGCCGAGGTTCTAAACAATCAAATTTGAGCCTACCTCAAAAAATTCACTAGAAAAAGTTGTTTTGATGCCCAAATATCTTCAAATTAATCATCTCGATATCAAGGTGCATGGACATGAGAAAAAAAAATGGATTTCAAGTTTTGGACATAGTGTATTTTGTAACACAATTTTAGACCGTCAATTTTCAAGATTTTCAAGTTTTCATAGATCTGTCGATCTACACTATTTTTGAAGCTTTAAAATTTATAAATAAATATAAAAATATATGTTAAGACTATCACAAAGATTTTCAATAGTGAAACTACATTTCTCGACACTATTTGAAGGTAGGCTCTAATTTGATTGTTTAGAGCCTAGGCTCTATACAAACTGCACCCTTTATTTTTTGGTATGAGGAGGTCATTATCATTATTGAACTTAATTGCAAAATCAAGTGGTTGGTGATGCATCTTTAATTGGGCACAATGTCCAAAATAGTGTTTTGTGAATATTGTGAACACTTCAATATGTTGGATTTCACATCCAATAGCCAAAAGTAATTTGACTTCATATAATATGTTGTCCGCGTCTCTTTTTTATTTGTGATTATCTACAAAGAAACCATTTATCTTTCTGTATATGGAGGTCACAATCATTTTCACTCATTAGATGTCAAATTGGATGGTTTGGAGTGAGTAATGAAATATGATATATTTTTTTCAAATTTTGTGTGTTCAATGATACTCATACGACCACCCTATTTTAAGATAAATAGTCTTTTAGACAAACCCTTTTTAATTATGTGGCCAAAATTTCAAACTAACCCGTCAGTTTATTTGATAAACTAGGAAGATTATGTAGAAATTTCCACCTAACTTTCCCTCCACCTACCCAGAAAATAAAAGCTATGTATGCTGGGTTTGGTCCTTGAGGTCAAATTTGTCATTTGTTTTTCAAATGACAATATTTTTGTGAAACCCTAGCAACTAGTAGTTAATGCGGTACATTCCAAACTGACAATTGTAATATGAAGTAGAAAGGTTAAAATCACAGCACCCTTTTCTTGTCCGATTTTTAGAAAATATGATGGTAAGAAACTAAAAATTAGAGTTTTAGAACTGACTTTAAAAAAGTGTATTTATTATTATTTTTTTTCTTCTTTCTACTAGTTCAACTGGAAGGTGTCCCCTGACTATGATAAAAATAAAACTCAAGCATTATGTTGTGATGCCCCACTGTCCTGATCACCTATCCTTTAGCCTAATCATATTAATGTCTTTGGTACTTCCTTCATAACTTGGGTGTTTTTTCTATCGTCTTTTCCGATATTGATGAGTGATTTTTTATTTCTTTACCATTAAAAAAAAAAGAGTGATCTTTTATTTCTTTCCGTGCATGCCATTTATGGTTATTTTTTGCAATAATAAGTACAAACAAGGGAAATAGTCAAACATAATATTGGGGGTTTAGAATTTAAAATTTTTTATTTTAATATTCATTTTACTAAGGTACTTTAAAAAATATTTTCAAAAATACCTAAATTGCCGAAGTTAGGAACCTAAATAAGCAACGCATTTTGGTAATCATAACCACCTAAGACACTC